AGTAAGGACTTGTGTCGCTAAAGTTTCGTCGGAACGAAGTTATGGAAAGTTAATTAACGAACGGAGACGTAACAATAGTCTTGGAATTTTTGTTGAAACATTTTTTGTGAGATTAGGCCTACAACTTTTGTCTAAGTGAACATAGTCTGTACATTCCTGATTTTTACTTCATTAATGGTCCCCAGGGAGTCAGTATTACGTTTCTGGAATTACAATGCTAAAATAAGGGGTTCGATTCCCTTTTGTAGACAGAGCACAGATAACCCATTGTATAGTTTTGCGCTGAAACTAGCGACATCTTTCGAAAGCATCCAACACTTCCACAGTAGAAATAAATAAAAATAATGTTTTGTTTATAGATATACATTTTTAGTAATAGATTTAAGCAAGTAATTTATGTTTTGTTTTTAACTGTGTCTTAAATTTAAGTTAATGTAAGACATACATAATATCTTTATCATTATTATTATGTCACAGTGAGTGCTAAGGTGCCAGAATGTTTAAAAACAATAATATCACAATAGTATTGATTGGTTACTGTTTGTTAGGGGGGGAAACAACAAAAGGACGAAGTAAAACAAAATAAGAAGACCCTAAGTCTGTTCCTGAAAGTGGGAAACAATGCCCCGGTGAATGGGAAATAGACTTTACGAACAAAAACTCAGGTGACCACCAAATCCATGTAGTAAGTGAACAACACTTTTACTTCTTTGGTATTCTACTTCATAGCAATTAGAAATACGAACTCAGAACTGTAGTGATTAGAAGTGAAATACAGAATCTCTCTAACTTGTGAAGAAGTGGCAGCTTTAGGAAAATATTTCAGTTGAGACTTCTCAATACTCAAATATAGGTTTTTGTAAAGTATAGGTGCACAGTATGAACACTCAAGGTGAACAGTGAGAGGTGAAAGAGTTGTGAAAGACTAACAACGTGGTTCTTCAGCAACTTTGAATATAACGTCGTCATTTTGCATGAGGTAAGCTTGAAAAGAAGATACATTTTAGAAATATCCCAAGTAAAAAAAATAACACAATGAAAATGATTATCAAATGATTAAAAGTTGTGATTCTACTTTACGTTTAATTTTATAATTTTGATTCTACTAGGAAACAATTGAAAAATTGTTATATTTTGTACTTACAATCTTTTGTAGTAAATATGTCTATTATTTACTTTTAATATGAAGCTTATGAAATATGTAAGTATGTATGTGAACAGAAACGACCTCTGGAGTGTATTTCAGTGTCTTTGTAATGGACCCTGACGTTGAGAATCCGTAGTTTTCACGTTTTAGTTGATGGTCACTTTTTGTTGTTGGTTATAGTCACTGATAGTGAAAGCATATATAATACGTAAGAATTTTTGTCTTATTTTTCTTTGGTTTTAAGATAATGTTACTTGATATTGGGCATTATGATAAAAACTTCAAAATTTGGGAAATGATATAACCTCGTTAGGATTAGGCTTAAGTCGGATATAGTTAAGTATTTTTGATTATGTAGGCTTAAAGTTTAGTTCAGCAACTTCAAATTTTTGTACTTAGGTCAACATTTGGGTTATATTACTGTTATTAGAGGAACAGCTGACATTGGTTTTGGTCACATTTAGTAAGTAACAATGATACTTTCTCTTAAACGCTTAAGAAAGTTTTCCTTAAGTCTAAGCCAAGTTTAAAGTTTAGTTATTTTGCCGAGATTGAGTTACAATAGCTATGATCAGGTTTTTTAGATGTCTTACATTTAGGATAAAATTTAATTCGTGCTCATTATCTCATATTTAGTTATTTCCACTGACCATATAATATAGGATTATATTGACACTGAGACCAAAACTTATAAAAAAAAATCTGGTTTGACTGTAAATGAGTGGCTGATTATTTCTCATTTCATGAATATTTATTTTAATTTTAAAATGCAACTCAGGTAAATACAAATATTTTTTTTCCTGTTGAAATAGGCTACCATTATTATATTAGCACTGTAGAATAGAGTGGAACTTAGCATTTAACTTTCAATTTCATTTTTTAGAAGTCAACTTCATAAAAATTAATACAAATTAGTTTCATAATGTCAAGTATTCCATTTAAAAGATTTACCAAGTTTCATGTTATATGACATCGGTAAGAAGAGAAATGCTGAAATTTTTTCTTTTCCTAATGAACACATGTTGAGTGCTTTTGTACAGTATTAAGGTTATCATATTTTATTTTCCATGACTATGTTAATGTAGATGATTGCCATACATATATGAAACTGTATATGAAGTATAAGTAATATCTTAACTGGAAACCTAATGAAAAGTGAAGTTAACATAAATAATGAAAAGCAAAAAACCTGAAATTACAAATTTAACAAACAAAAATCTTTAAAGATATTCTACAATATCATACATTAAATTATGAGCAAATTTTGATGGGAATAACCTTACCAGTGCTAAAGGAGAAAAGTATCTTGGCATTCTAGTTGATCAGTCTCTTTAGCTATCCAAGCAGTGTGCTGTTGCTAGTCGTGGGGCAAATAGGATTTCAGGTTCTTTTTTTTTTATAGAAATATTGAATACAAGTCTAAAGAAGTTATATTTTTATTATACAGGTCATTGTTTGGCCACATTTGCAATAATGTTTTCAGTCTTGACTGCCTTACTTTAAGAAGAACACTGAATTGTAAGATGTTCAGAGAATGGCTACTAGGATAATACCTGTGATAAAAATGTTGTCTTACTAAGACAAATTAAGATCTCTGAAACAGTTTTCTCTTTAAAAAAAGGAGAAGTGATAGTGGATCTAAATAAGGTGTTTAAAACTGTTAAGGGAATTAATAGTGTTGATACATCATCTTCTTTAATGGTGAGAATGGTAGGACAAGGATACATTAATTTGGAAGGTCACAAGTCTCAAGGCTTGATAATTTTTTTAAGTGAAATGGACAATCTTTGGGTGTTTTTTTTTCATTTTAAAGGTTAGTTTAGTAGATGAATGGCTTAGATGGACCAACATGTCCCTTGTTGTCCTTAAATTATATTTATGTTAACTTGACTTGTCATTAATTTGGCAGGTCAGAAGTCACGAGGCTTGGTAACTATTTGAGTGAAACAGACAAGCTTTGGGTGTTTTTATTTTCATTTTAAAAGTTAGTTTAGTGGATGAATGGCCTAGATGGACCAATAGGTCCCTTGTTGTCCTTAAATTATGGTATAGTTAATTTTTAATGTTTTATTTTCCTTTCTTATCCTTTACCACTTATTATTCATCTTGTCATATTACAGTGTGTCTGTCAGACATGCTCAACACTTCAGCAAAATTTTCATGCACTATGTGATATCGTAAGCCTTGAGAGCTGACACAAAGTATGATGTATATTTAATAATGAAAGTCTTCCGGATATTTCTAAAAAATCCTGAAAACCTCCGGAGGAACACATTTTTTAAAATTATTTATTGGATTTTCGTGTTCCATGCCATAGATAAACGTTTATGCAATCGCGCGGTTTGTTTACATTCGGCGAATGAGTT